ACTGTGAAAAGCTCAGTGCTGTGACAGTGATGCTTTCTAGACTTTAATTGGCTGATTTTTTTCACACGCAATGACTATGTCCGCGCCATGCTTATGCCGTGTTTCTGGTATTTGATTGGATGGAGAGTAAATTATCGTGCAATGTGATTGGTCTGGCGTATTGCTTGCTGTGTCATGACCGTGTTTGTGCCTTGATCTTTTCACGGTCATACAAAAACTATTTAGATTCAGTTTGTAACGACTATACTTTATACTATTACAGATCTCATAAGTTTTTGCTTTGTTTACTTCTCTTTGATCTTTTTGTATGTTTGTCAAATCATTTTGTCTAACTTTCATTAATCGTATTTTAATTATTTGTTGTAGCACACCATTGTTAAGCTATTATAGTTCATAAAAGAAGCCAGGCTTTGAGGTTCACTGTGAAATGAGAAATGAAAATAGGATCTTGTTTTCTCACTGGACTCTGAAGATGACTGCTCAGGTTGTTAAAACACCAGTCACCACAACGACAGCAGTCTTTCTCAAGACTACACTCACCCAGACAATCACACTTCACCACAAACTATAGGTTCATACTTACTCTAACGGCAAAAGAAATTCTCCATTCCACTTCTCCTCAGTCTATACTATATATTCCTTCTATATGCACATACCAGAATCCTTTTTGAAGTTTCTTTTTTATCACTGATTTGTAATTAACATCAGGCATAATCACAGACCAAAATAGTTTTAGCTTAGTCATACGTTATTTCTGATTAAACGTTCTACTCTTGGTCAAAATGACCTTCTAGGCAAAGATTTGGCCTGACAAGTCCCAGTTCTGGACAGACATTGTCCGATGTCTGGTGGTTATTTTAATTSCTATCTTGAAATTCGATATTAAAGGAGATAAAAATATTTGAATAAGAAAGAAATTCAAATAGCATTCTGGTAGTAGTGGTAATCCTCAGCTTTTTGTTTTCTTGTTGGTATTCGTGATAACACTCACAGTATACTCACAGTATGCGGCCCCTTCAAGAATATTCAGTTTCTTGGTATCTGGAAAAATGATAAGACAAGGTAGAATATATAAGAAAGGAAACAGAATTTCTGAAAAGATGTATCATTTTCTTAAATTACTTCAAACCCGTTAGGGTATAGGTAATGGGACAGATCTCTTTGAGTACAGCCAATGGTATGACAATGTTTGGTACATTGTACTTCAAGTGGTATTTCAAAACAGCAAAACATTTTTAGTATCRTTAAAATATGTGAACAAATAAGAAATTGCACAAATTAAAAGAAAATTGACAGCCAATCAACCAATCAGAAGCAAGTACTTTTTGTAGAGTTCTTTCAAGCAGCAGCAATTTATGTGTCGTTCTCTCCTATGCTACGAGTGTTTCTCTGGGTTCTCAGGTTTTCTCCCTCCGTAAAATCAACATGTGAGTCGAGCATTGTGTGCATAGAACATTTAATGTAGTTGTAGAGCATGTGAGTGAAAAGTGTCCATAATTAGTGCAAAAGCGCTAGACTGACTAGACTAAATTAATTTGATCAAACAGTCGTCGATGGTTGTGGACGAAAAAAAAAGTTTCAAAACCATTTTTTATATATAATTAATTTAACAATTGTATGCATGACAACCGCAAAGTCTGCTGTAAGATTTTTGAGCCCACAATACTAGTGAGCATATCCTTTTACAATAACTGCTGGATATTAACGAGCACACTATTTTCAATGTCATCAGTTGCCTAGTAACGTTCACATATGAGCAACAGAAAAGGTGACGGTTGGGGCAGAGTCTCAGCAAATGGAAAAGGAAAGGAGACTCTGTCAGCAGGGAAAAGCCTTTGTTTCTGCTTGTTCAAAGAGCTCATCAGTTACTAGGCTTGACAAGTTTTCACTTCTCTGGGCACCTTTTACCAGGTTTTCTGTTATTTTTTACTGTATTGTATTATGTGAATTTTCAGGTAATAAAGTTACATATACATTTGAATGTGAGGCTAGATCGGCAAAAATATAAATTCTTCCAACCACCATGTCTGCCTTGTGAGAAAGGTTTATTTTACAATGTTCTATGTGTATAAGTAGGTTATATTTTATTTAGATTGAAACCAGTATCAGGAATTCAGTACTCACTTGCAATGAGGACAGTTATAAAACACTGTTTGTCCTTCATCAACTGATCGGGT